GGGGAGGGGCGGGGAGGGCGAAGGAGAAGAAGAAGGAGGAGAAAGGCAAACAAACAAACCCAAGGTGAGTGAGGGACGCTTCGGCTCGGCCAGGCGAGCGAAGCTAGCGAAGCACAGCGTAGCAGCGGAAGAGTGTTCGGCAATCGCTACGGCGGCCGCGGCTCTGTGCGCGCCGGCCGTCCAGCTGAGACAAAGCGAGAGAGGCTCGTGCGGACACGTCATGGCGCAGTCCGCACAAACAGCAGCAGCAGCAGTGCCGTGCATAGCAAAAGCATGGCACTTTCGTCGAATCGCATTCACACTACAGGTGTCGCAGAGTGGTTATACCCCCCGGCTCCCGGCACCCCCCCCGGTACATCAGCCCTAGGTATAGTGTACCGGGGGTACACTGTCCCTGGGGCACATGTACCCCCTCCTCTCGAGACCCGGGGGTACACCCAACCTAGGGCTGGTGTACCCCCGGGGGGTACACTGTCCCTAGGGCACATGTACCCCCCTACCCTCGACCCCGGGGGGTACACCTTACCTAGAACTGATGAACCCCCTGGGGGGTACACGATCCCTAGGGCAGATGTACCCCCCTCCTCGACCCCCGGCAGTACACCGAACCTAGAGCTGATGTACCCCCATCTGAGGGGGGTACACGTAACCTAGGGATGATGTACCCCACGAGATTTATACGCACAACATCTAGAGTTAATGAAAGCTTACTTTAGGCTAGGTTAGGTTAGGCTAGGTTAGGCTAGGTTAGACCAGGCTACATTTGTGGCGCATGACGAATGGTTGCATTTCCTTACCCTCAAGGTAGGGGGTACATCTGCCCTAGGGACCATGTACCCCCCGGGGGTACATCTGCCCTAGGGACCATGTATCCCCCGGGGGTACATCAGCCCTAGGTTAGGTGTACTCCCGGGGGTCGAGGAGGGGGGGGGGTACATCTGCCCTAGGGACCATGTACCCCCCGGGGGTACATCAGCCCTAGGTTAGGTGCACCCCCGGCGGTCGAGGAGGGGGGGTACATCTGCCCTAGAGATCGTGTACCCCCGGGGGTACTCCAGTCCTAGGTTCGGTGTACCCCCGGGGCTCGAGGGTGGGGGGGTACAAGTACCCTAGGGCTGATGTACCGGGGGTACTCCAACTCGGGGGGGTATAATCGCTCTGTTACACCGGCACAACAACGGTGTGCGTGCGGCAAACGTCAGAGAGGTCGGGGCGGGCTGCATGGCGATCGGGGGCACGGGCTTCCGAGAAGAAGCCATTGCCCGCCCGCAGTTTGAGCACATGGGCAGAACACAGTTCCTTTGAAGCTGCATCTTGAAATGTTGGACTGGGATTGGACTGAAAAGCTTCGCGGAATATCGAGGCCCACCTGGTCCACCGCTCGCCCCCCCCCCCCAACAGCACTGGACTGTGAACAATTTAGTGTTGTTCTGTGCAGTGCAGATGCAGCGCAGCATTGCCCCCTCACTCCCTCCCCCGCCCCTCCCTAAGGTATTGTGTCACACCTTACTCCTCCCTCCAGTCGAGCCCCTGTGGCCCTTGGGGTAGGCCACCCGCCCAGGACGGCTGCACGGCGTTGCCTAACCACAAGGCGCTACCCCTGCTCCACGCGAACCGCCTCTTTTCCCAACCTTCCTATATTCTTTTCCCCCTTTCTTTTCCGAACACGAAAACACCGATAAAAGCTTTCGGCGAATTTCACCGTCAATGAATCCTGTAGCACTGGTAGCTTACGGTCAATATTTTCGCCGTAATCATTACTCGCGACCAAACTATAGGGAATAAAGCATTCGGGTAAAGCTGAGATGCAGAAGAATGGAGGGAACAAGAATACGGAAGTCACCATGGTGACGCATTGAGATTTCCGCTTTCTTCTTCCCCGCATTCTTCTG